CCAAGTGAGAACCGTGGTGAGTGAAGTCCCGAGGAGTCATTCAGGATCTTTTCTATCCATAATCCAGCCAAAAGCACGCCGTGCACTAAATATATGGCAGTTCATAGTGCCACACAATACTCTTCAGACAGTAGGTCAAGAAAGGTCAGGTCCTCGGATGGATCGCTATGCACTCCACGTTGAAGAACGCATACCTGCAAAATGTTTCGCTGAGAGTCGTCAAGAACAAGTGACTCGGCGAAGAGGAGCGCACACTGGATCATGGTCCGAAACGTTGTGGGGCGGGCTAAGCACCTATGCACCAAGCCCAGCACGATCCAGCAAGCACAGACCATGCCACAGCCCTATACTAGTAGCAAGTATATAGCATGGCAGTTGTGGCAGTGGCCTTGGTCTGCTCGACGGAGCCATACTTTAGCGGCCTGGCGCAAGCAGCCAAGCAGAGACGTCCCTCCTCCATTCTCTTCTGCACTGCTGTTAAGGAATCTAAATCAAGNNNACTTACTGTATACCCATATTATGGTACCCTGAACCCTAAACCCTACACCCCACACCGTAAATCCTATATACCCAGATTATGGTAACCTTACCTTTGGCTTAAATCCCTTAACGGAAACCCGGTACACCCTAAACCCTAACCCAATGTCCCGGTCTTGGGCTGCTGGCTCCGCGTGGTCACCACTATACAGGACGCGGTCCGTCCAGGCCTCAGTTTTGCACGGGGATTATGTAGGGATTACATGGGGCTTACACAGGGATTTGATGGGGCTTATCTGTGGATTCTATTGGGATTTTATAGGGATACATGCCCATGGCATCCCAAAACTGTTCGAGCGGTGGACAGGCACTCGCTTCTTGCTGTAGCCGGGCCCTGGCCTGCAGCATCAGAAGCTCTGCAGTAGGATTTCGCCGATTATGCTGGGCTCATGGCACCGCAAGCTTAAACGTCGGAGGAAATGGCGGCCCCTGATTGGCGTCCACGAAGGGTTCTCGCCTGGATCTTGCACTTGCAGTGTTGTGCTCTCTGCCATGAGAACTCGCAAAAAAAGCGAGGTGCCTTACTTTCCCCAACCCCGTGCTGACATCCACGACTGATGCGACCAAGCATGAGACCAGTGTGAGAGCATGCTTTTCTCGTCCCTTGCGACCTTGGCCAAGATGCTGATTCTCGATGCAGGTTCGCTTTGCCCAAAGCAAGTGGGGTCCCCCGCATTTGCATTTAGGCAGCCGATGCTCTTCTGAGTGTTAAGGATTGAAGGCTGTGGAGATGCCCTCATCTCCTGCAAAATCTGCAAATCTTGGCTTTTTTTTACAAAGCTTTTACATGTCTGTGAGGATGTCTCAAGACCAGTCCTGGCTAAGCTGATCCAACTTCCACAGGTCCATATAGCCATCCGACTCGCCTATGCCAGGGCAGTAGGGAATATGCGAAGATAATCCCTGTATAACCATTATATACCATTATGATATTGTATATTCCCATATATTCCCATAGTCCCCACTGCAACAAGCCAAGCCGACCCAAGGCTTGCATTGTACGCGAGTGGAAATCCTGGCTTGCTTCCAGCTTGCCATGCAACAACAGGCACTCTGCAGGCATTAAGTCCTTCTTGCTGTCCCTGTTGACCAGCCTCATGTTGGTATCCTGCCAGAAGAAGGTTTCATGCGCTTTCACTTTCTGAGACATCACATCGACCTGCGGTTTTGGAAAGATTTTGCCAGTGCAACAAAGCCCCGTCCCCCATCAAGAATATCGCCCGGTGAGCAGGCACAGGGTAGACCTTCAACTCGTGGGTGAAGAAACGACACGTATGGCTGTCTGGAATACCCTGCTGTAAGGTTCCCGACCATTTGGTTGACATGAGACTTGAACTTGATCTGAGCAGGGACATAGGCTCTGAGAGCAACATTCCCGTGGGTGCAGAGATACGATGTATTGCTGCACTCCCTTCATGCAAATGATGTCACATGCTCTGCTCCTAGCCAAAGCACGCCCTGTTTGTCGAGTACCATTTTACGCCACGCCTCTGTCCAGCACTGCTGCATCTGCTGCATGCGCTGCTTGAGATCTCGCACGCTATACCTGCAAGTTGGCTAGTCAATGCATCAGTTTTGGTGATTGTGCACGACTGCTTGAGAGGCTCTGCCAGCATTCTATGAAGATTGTGCGCAATTAACTAGTAGCATCTCCGTTACAGTCTGTCAGCACCACCATTATAACTGCTATGCTATAGACTGTAGGCATTGCCGCAAAAGTCCTGGTGCCTGTCCAAGTTGCGGGAACTACCCAATCAGTCAACGAAGCACTGCTCTTCTCTGCTTCGAGCAATGAAGGAAAAAACGCACCATGCCCATGTGAAAGGCCCAATTTCTACATTCTACTTCATCTCAACACAGGCTCCGGGCTTGGTTGATCCCTATTTGCGCTACTATAAGATGACAAGAGAGGCAGAGCCTGGCTGAGTTCGAGGTGGTGGCTGCCAAGTGGCAGTTCAGGAAGCAGAAGCTCCTGTCCTCAGCAAAAAAACACAGGACGAACCCAAACCGCCGCAGGAGGGAATATGCCTGAATGTGTTCAGCATGCTACGGGCCAGACCCAGAGAACGAATCTGCATGCCACGGCGCCTTTGGCACCTCACACGAGATCGAGGAGCAGAGACCAGCATGTTGCAGCATCATGTCATCCTGCCTGACTTGATTCGTGGATCCATAGGCTTCTCCGCCATTCCTGGCTTGCCCACATGCAAACGGTGTGCTGGACTCCAAACCAAGGCCCACACCAAAATCGCGTATGTGTTTCAGCAGGTATGCCGGACAAAAGACGCACAACCTCAGCATGGATCAGGTAGACCAGGATGCCCACTCCACAACACACAAATCGTTAGCCCCTGGCAGCAGCCCGAATAGGTACACGGGCTGACCGTACAATACATAGGCCTGACCAATGGAATCAGGGAGCACTCTCTCTGTAGCTGATGTGAGCACCAGGATGCGGGCCCTGTGGTCCATGGAGCCTAGAAGGAATCATCAGGCAAAACTGCTGAACCATCGATATTTCGAGCCATTACCGGTGTCCGAGGGTCGTGCAGAAGCTTTTTCCTGCTGGCAGCGGTCGAGAGTTGAGCCCGCCTTCAACAGGTACTGCGATGTTGATCAAAGACACTGCCAGGACTTCAACCACACCTAGCAAAAGCTCCACCCACTGCGCCACGGTTTCCGGCCAACCATAGAATGTCTGGTTTTTGCCTCACGCTCTGGGGCGGTAAAACATGCAAAGCCTGTCCAGCAACATTTTCCACACTTCCAAGGCTTGGGCGAGACTCGTTGAAACTACTTGTGCCCTTCATGGCGTTGGAGGGCGTCAAGCTGATGATCTCCTACCGCGACAGACACAGGAGGAGTGTTTTCTCGCCAGTCACAGCAGGCAAGACTGGAAACAGCTGCTAGCACGCCACATTTGATGCCCTCTCTGCATGGCTGTTTTTAGCTCCGCGCAAGGATCGAGCTAGCTAGCATCTTGCCGCAACTCAGCCCCAGAGATATTTCGCGTGAACTCCAGAATCAACTGGTTCACTGCCTTTAGTTGACACAAGGGCCAGGCATCCGTTGGTCACTGGGCAGTGTGCAGCTTGGCAGCGCTTGGCGCTTCATCATGCGGACAGTGGCCCACTCCTGGAAACCTGAAGACTATGGCAGCCCACACAAACTTCAGAGGAAAGCCCAGACTAATCTGACAGCTTGCCAGGTGCGTACACTGCTGCCAGAAAACTCGATCAACCTCCGCACAGAGGGGAGCTCATCGAGGGCCGAAGCACGCTCCAGCGGAGTCCAAGGATCTTTGTCTCCCCAGCATGCCTGGAAAAGCATTGGCATAATGCGGTGTAGGCGCAAGGGTGTGCGGGTGTGCATTAAGCTGAGATGCCCAAACGGGAGCTGCCAAGCGAGAATCCTGCAAAGCAAGAAGGCTCAACCCCAGGAAGATCGTGCTGGACGATAGTCAAGTCCTGCAGTAACTGTTCCAGAAGTGGGCCAGACGAGTACGAGAATGTATCCTCAGCTCTTTCACAAAAAGTAAATCAGTTACGGAACCTTCAGTCAGCAACTTCTAGAATCGCAGCACCAGGGTCGAAAACTGATTCTGCTGCACCCTCAAGCAAAAGTGGCGTCAGCAGAACATCCACCAGCTCATCAGACACCTTGGCTCCACTTCCTGAAACTGAAACACAGACCTTCCAGAATGTCCACTATCTTGAGAACTTCCAGCATGGACTCTGCTTTGCCAAGTGGGGCACTTGAGACGCATTGTAGTAGGGCTCTTTCAGGATCTGCTTCACAGTGTCCTTGTTGGCCAGCATGCTGTAGAGCGACTGGCCCACCTCAATCATGCAACAGAGATATGGCCGGTAGCTAGCCCATCCATCATTCCCAGTCCAAGCCACGGAAGTTTCGCGTAGCAACTCCTGTATCCAACTAATGATCGGCCTGCACAACACAACAAAGAGACCCCAACCTGAAAGAATCGCAGAGCACGCACAAAGCTGGGCCTGGCCAGCGGTGGAGCCTTCGGCAGTACAACACAGTCTCCCGCAAACATCATCATCATCATCATCATCATCATTTGAGACGCAATTACATACATTCTGATTCCCATGTACTCTGCTCCGCATGTAAGTGACAAACATTTGCGAAAAGCCGTCATGTACGCATCATATTATTAACGCGGTAGATTCTCAAATTTGGGGCTGAAGATATACTAAAAATGACAACTTTTGACAGATCCCTCAGATTCGGCAGTGGCCGCCTCCGCAACGTGTTCCTGACGAAACCGCGGATTCACCAGCAGCACACCAGGGACGCGGTCTGGGCGATCAATGGCTGCCTGCAAGCCTTACGTAGACTGGCCTTCAGTTTTAGAAGGGTCTAGCAACGAAACTTGCTGTTGTAAGAACTCTATCTAAGAGATATTAGCTTCCAATGTTGGCAGGAATCCAATCAGAGTGCCCAAGGAATTGCCAATCCTTGGCAGCGCGCTGAATGAGAAATTGATGACATTTTGCCCAGTGCTCCGAGCAGTTTTGCCCAGCCACAGGAAGGTATCAGCTTTCACGACTTCATCAATGAAATCGCACACTTGCTCGCTCCAAGTGTAAATGTTGTACCTCTGCTGCAGAAGCAAAAGCAAAAGGACAACAATTCTTGTCGGAATGTCTAGATTAGAAATATTAGAGGCAATCGGGCAAAACGAAGTGTGCCAGGATCTGGGAACTGCGGAGGTCTGGAAGTCAAGAAGCTTAGACAAGAAACACGGATCCGAGAGGGTGCCGCAGCGGGACCTCAGAAGTCTTGTGCAGAGTGAATGAGTTGTTCTCTGTTCGCACGTGCAAGGAAAGAACATGAATGATGTGCGGTGCTTCTCAACCAAGCAAAGTTCAACTCCTTGCTACTCCTCAGCAGTCTTTCAACTACCAAGGTTTCAGAAACTACTAAATTCATGCAGGGACTCTGAAATCTACACGATGCCCTCAGTCGAGCTCCAAGACTCCCAAAGCTGCTCTGATATTTCCAAACCAGCCCAAAACGACTTAGCGAGCAAACCAAAGCATGGGGTTCCTGGCGCACAGGAAACTCGTTGTGGGAACTCCTGAAACGGAGCTTGCATGAGGTTTCCATAAAAGGGGGGACCCCCGAAAAGGGAACCCCATGTTGAAGACCGTTCTAGCCAAAGATGCCGAGACGAGCTCTCGGCGACCTGCACATCCCCAAGCCAGCTGTGTCATATGAGTTTGATGACAATGACAATGTGATACTTCAGTTTGAATGAGCAATTAGTAATTAATGCTACTACAGCTGGTGGCCGACATAAGGATCCTAGATGCCTCTGGTAGGTGTCGAAACCCGCTGCTTCGACACACAAGCGGCACAAGCACATGAAGTCCCACCTGCTCCCCGAAGAAGCTCCACCTGTACGTCACTTAGATCCCGTCCGCGTTCCCCACTGATAGCAGCAGCTTCCTAAGCACTCAGCATCCAAGCTCCTCCACTCCACAAACAACTTTCTTGTTCTTATGCTGCATGCTAGCTTCTGCACTGCGGGGTTCAAGACGATCAGTGTAGCCACTGCCCAGGAAGTCGATCGCATACACTCGTAACCCTCCCTGAGTTCAGGTGGGAAGCAAAAAAAGGTTTCCTGGATTTGAAAACACATCCCGGTCACCGGGCTGGCTGATAAACTCAACAAGCTTCAAAAGAGGCATAACCCAGCCTTGGCTAATTCAGGGAGATTTCGACGCCAATGATCAGCCTTGGCTGACAATCACAAGCAGCTCTGCAAAGTCCGAATGGCTGGGTTGCTGCTAAGGAATTTGAATGAAGTTGCTATAACAAGGAAGTCATATGATTTACTATATAGCCCTGTTGTGGTAACTTCAGTGAAGTTCTTTAACAGCAAGCCGGATGGTATCATGCTGGTCGCCCCCAGTGAAAAGACTGTATGACTACCACTACATTGGCACGGATGCCCTTCTATATCGCTTGACCCATGGGATGATTGCCGGTCTGTGCTGTGGTTTACCCTGGTCTAATACGGCAGCGTACTGTCCCCTCTGCCGGGCGGCATTGACCAGCAAACCATGCAGGAGCAGGCCTAAGTACAAATAGTACAATGCCGGTTGAGATTTTTCGAGGTTCCATGATGCCTTGCGTCAAAAGCCGAATGGCGGACTACTTGTTCATGCCACGGCACAACTTGGACCAGTGTTGTCCTCACCTAGAACTTGGTAGCGGACCTGGCGACCCCATGTTTTGGAAGCCATGCGACATCACTGCGACATTACGCAACTCTAGTCGTTCAACACTCGGCCACCTGACAGCCCCGCCAATTCCAGACTCGATTCGGAATCCCGGCCTAAGCACGACGACATGCAAACCACGCAAGGACCGCCTAAGACTGCTTCACGTCGAACACTAAGAGGAAGACAGGGTTGGCAGGAGGAACAGCCGGGCGGTGTATTAAAAATGTTCTGGAAGGCTCCAAAAACTGCACTCCAGTGCACCTGGGCAAGGGTCGATCAAGCGCAAGGACTGGCATTGAGTCGCGGTGCATGCTGGCATGGGGCAACAACAGGAGGATTCCTGCTCGGTGCCATCGTACAGACTTGGTCCTCATGTAGTTGCGAAATTGCTAAGTTGAATACCCGGCTTCGAATACGACTTTACCAGTAACTAGGAACAACTGTCACTTGTCAGTTGGGTCAAAAGTGTTTTTACCGGAATGCTCAGAAATTTTGCCCAGGAATGTTGGGTACATGTCGTCAATTCATGTCAACTCCTACTGGTACATTGCTGCAAGCTCTGAACCGAAATGCGGCGTCAACGAACGACTTGGTCACGGCAGCGCACATTCACTAAAGGAGTTGTCAGCCTGCAAGCCCACAACGATGACATCGGCTGCACCAAGCTTTGCAACCTCAGCCAGGCATATGACGAACATATCCGCTGCTTGCCGTAGGATAATGCTCCACAAAGGTATTGGCTGCATGGGCATGCTTGAAGCCGGCACTGGCAAAATTGCATCCGCGCAAATGTTTGCTCGTCTGATTCTTGTCTGAATCATGTCAACAGTATTCACTCTTGCTCAAATCGCTTTTGGAGGTCTGCACTCTCTGAGCACCATTGGATCGTTGTCATGATTTGACATGCTGCCCGACATGGACACAATGGGTGCAAAGTAGCTAGCCCCTTCGTTTGCAAAGCTTACATGTGCCAAAGTCTGTCCATACATCCCTGCACCGAGCATGCTACATGCCTCCAATCAAACAAGATGCAGTCAAGTTGTGGACCTGCCTGCTGACTACCCCCACTTATACGGATTTCAGACAATCAATTGCAAACTGATTCCCATGGTAAGTTCTTCGAAATTGACTGTTATCTTGCCTCTGAGTATCGAACTGGCCCCTGCTAACAGCTGCTTCAACATGTCAAACGAGTCCCGCTTCGCCCAATTGAACTTGCATCAAGCTACTCACAACCAGCCTTTTTGCTGATCATTAACCATACAACAAGATTGTCACACACTTTCCATGTAAGGAGGCAGCTGCAGCCTGCAGAACATCTGCAACGGCTGCCTGCGCTTCCTGGCAGTTCAACATCTGACTGAATTGCGTTGCATGAATATTGCAGGATTGTTTTCTCGTAACTGTGGAGACCTGTGGATGTGGTGAGTTCCAACAAATGTTACTACGGAACTTTCTACGCTCATGGAAAGAGCGTTCATCGTGCCGGGGGAGCTGTTTTTACTGTCTGAAAAATGCAAAAAACGTGCCTCTTCTAAGCCAGCTCCTTGATCCTTCCGGTGGTCGCTAATACCACCAACATTCCAGGACAGCAAACCAACCTGAGCAAAGGCATGCCATCGCTTCAGTATCTCACACATAATCCTGCTGGGTAGGTAGCGCGTGCCACTTTCCGATTGCACACTCCAGCCTGAACCAACACAAGGCCAATATGGCCAATCATTGCTGAATCGTCCGACTGCCAAGATAACTCAGCTAAGCCAAAAGCTTTCCCTCCGGAGGATGTGCTTTGCTCCGCTTCTTGTGTAACCCGACTGATGACCTGCAACATCCAAGAGCTGTGTACACAAGGCAGAAAATTGGTTGACCAGTTCACTTACCTGTGCAACGCCCCTCGCCTCATGCTGCTCCTGTCTTCCCAAACCAGTGAAGTGGTCTAAATAACGATCGAGAGGAATGCCCTCGACCTCAGATATCGCAGTAGGAGATGACAATCATTCAGGATCATTCTTGCCACCTCCAAACCGTGGCAACCAAGCCCACAATGCCATGAAACCTGCGCCACGCTCATGCAGAGATGCTGTCAGAAGACAGAATTTTGCAGAAGGCAGCCTAACATGTACCGGCCTCAGGTAATTTTTTTCTCGAACCGGCAGTTGTGCCTGCGCCTCAAAGTCTCAACAGTGCTCCCATTTACTGCAAACAAACTTGCATTCAGGTCACAAAGCACCTAACCAACAACAACTGGAATGCAGCTTCGTGGCAACAACCCATGCCAGTATGCGGAAACAGCTCTGGATGTGTTGAACAATGTTGAGCTGGAATCGTATGGCTGCTTTGTGACGAATGCTTGAATGCTGCAGGCTTTCTATGGCTGGCAGTTTGGCATGAAGCTCACAAGGTTGATGAGACGCATGAGATGCACGGGTGGCACCTGTGTCGAAACACTGTGCTTTGCACAGGTCCGAAAGCTCCCAAACCTTGCATGAAATCATCAAGCAGCAACACCGAAGTCACACCGCCGGAATGCATGCATGACAACCAGCAAACTATTTTGATGAAAAACAACTGGGACACGCAAGTGAATGTTGGACCAAATTTTATACATGTCAAACCATGCCAACACTTTTCAAAATGTCTGGCTAACAGCTGAAAGCTGCTCGACACGGGACCCTTGCTCGCCGTGACAAACATGTCACGCCCAGCGCTTTGTGGACGCAACTGAAACCGTTATTCTTACAGTCCGGCCTGTTTTTTCATGACGCTTGTTCCATGTGCATGGTCTATGATGCTGATTGTGTGCCCATCGCATGGCCTTCACACGCGCGGAAAAACTGTACTATGAGACTATAGAGGCTAGGCAAGACCAGACCAAAAACAGCAGCCCAAACTTAAACAAAAATTCGCAGTCCGCCAATAAACTTCGTCCAGAAAGTTGGAAACAACATCATCCATCTAAACCCCTGACGACGTACCACCAATTTAACAAATGTGGCGAATCCTGTATACATTGTTCGTTCTCCATCTGCTGTTCATATTTCATCAAATGATCTTGGTGACAATTTTGTTTGATAAATGATGCAGCCCACTTGCGGACAGCACGATGACTTCTCATAGGCGTGTAAAGTGAACTGGAATGTAACAATTTCTGATCACAAAAATGGAGACCTGAAACATGAATGGACACCGCTCACGCGCGAAAGAACAAGCACAAATTCAATGGAATTGAATAAATGTTGACGGCGTTGCAAACTGAACTTGCAATGCAATTGCGCAACCATTGGTGGGCGCAAATTGCTGGAGCATGACAGACATCGCCCGGAACTGCCCCTGACACATCCTGTTCAATGCAAACAAAAGCAAACGAACCGTCTTGTTTGGAAGCCTCTGGGGTGCCTGGGGGCGCCCCTCCCCATCTCATGGCTCAAAACATCCCCGGTTTGGCCCTGGCTTGTGACTGACATTTCGTAAAAAGCTCGAATTTCTGTAGGCATGAGCCAAATTAAATTGCATGGCCTGGCTAAATTAACATGTATATGTCACAAAAATTATCACCTGCACACCTCAAACCCTTCAAGCCGCGTTCTCAAACGAAGCCGAATCACAACGTCAACAAATTGTAGTGGTGTGAAAAATGCACGCATGAAAGCACAACCGCAGTGGATATTCTGGACGGGGCTTGGACGATTAGTGCGAACAGTGTGGCTTCAGCCTTCCTGAGCAAGAATCTCCTTCATGGAGCACACGTGACTAAACTGGCATGTCCAAACAACTGCGTAAACTTTTCGCAGGTCTCCTGCGGTGGCCGCTTTTTCGGCATCACCAAGGAAGTGCAAAACTGTGATTTTTCGCCTGGTGGCACCTGCGTTTAGCTTCCTTGCTGCTTTCCAATGTCTGGCAGCGGCCTGCCCCGCTACGAAGGTCTTAGTGTGGATCGACTGTTGCACAGGAATATGCACAGCCGCCTTGTGCACTTGCCAGAGATGAATGATCTCTTTGTTGCACTCCCGTGGCTCTTTGGCCTGGAGAGGCAAGCGCCCCTGGCATACCGTCATTAAGATGCTGTTTATACTTTTTGCTGTGGAAGAGGAATTTATGCCAAGCATTGTTTGCCTAATTCGCTCACCTACCATTTCAGTTTCCACGCTCCTCCTTCTGGCAACCTCTGGCAACTTCATCCAGCGCCTGTGTACAAAGCTTTTGAATCTCAATTTGTTTGATCGGGAAAAAATGATGATTCATACGACGGACTGTAGTCTCAAGACTGTGGTGTCTTATATGCTGCCGCCATCTGCCGGAAGGGTGTGGTCTGACTGCGACGTGTTTGGGCTGTTGCTTGTTTAGTGAGAATGAAGCCGATTTGGTTTCGGCCATCCTGCCCGTTGGATGACTGATTGAATTGAGTTGTGTGGGTTTGGCCTGACCCATGCAGGTGTTTAAAGCAACAAGCCCGGGGGCTTCCTGCAAAATAGTCATTGCTTGGGGCTCCAGAGCGTCCGGCCTGACATCAAACAGGGTATTGAACGTTGATCTGCCCACGTGCATCTCCTGTTGTACAGTTTCAGCTCGGAGGTCCCCAAAGACGATGACGATCATCGATAATACTTCCAACGAGCCAAAACAAAAGGGAAGCCGTCACAAAACTCCTGCACAATAGAAGCAGGTCCATCAAATATATAAAGGCACAAATATATTTAATATCAAATCGAGCACTGAGCACTGCGGACCATTTCTTTTGCTGCAACGGGGAACGGAGTGAGTCTACTTTGCAGATGCGCATGCCGCATCAAACACGGGGTGGAAGCACATCCTCCCACGCCTACACAGTATAATGCCGCAGTCGCCACGAGTAGACACCCCCAACCCCACTGCAGACGTCACGCGTGCCCAGGCTGCCTGCACTGGGCCTGCACAAGTGTGGGCTCACACTGCAAAGTTTCAGGTAGAAGCTGCGACGGAACCTGTCTAGAGGGCTATCTTTTTTCATTCATTCACATTCATTCACACGCTGTCCCAGGGTCTGAGACATGCGGGCGATCTTACTTGCGAGGACGCCATGTAGCCTGCAACGTGCTGTACCTCGTGAGGTCCGACAGCATGCTGCGCACTACGAGCTAGGGTGAAACGCCCCGCGAAGTCCGGTATCACGGTCTCATCCTCTGGAGAGCCAGTACATATGCGTCGCGTCGCAACAGCTGAAGGTGCGCCATATTGTTAGCAACAGGACTCGCGTTATCGTCATTTATAACGAAGTCCCTAGCAGCACTGAGAACGGGCGCGGCATTTGCCCCTCCCCGCATCGAGGAGCGCGGGTGACGCTGAATGCACGACAGTGGCCCGTGTGTGCCTGATCGCCCACATGGATGGCTCCTGCACGCGGGTTGTACTCCTCCTGATGAATGCCCATGCCCTGGCCTGGGAAGACCGGGATGCGCAACTTGGTAGGAACGTCAACGACATGCGTAAGTTTGCGACCACGTCTGCCACGATGTTCAAACCTACCTAGCATGATCAACAAGATGTTGGGGGCATGGTCCCAGGCGTGAGTGAACATCAGGCTGCTGTTGCCAGACCTCCACGACGTCTTGAGCATCGGTCACACCTTTGAGCCTGCAATGGAAGTGGATCCTGCCTGCATCCCTGACTTGGCAGGCTGCAATCCTGCGAGCGCTCCAGCTACCATAAAAGGGGCACAGTGTCAGTGTGGGTCAATGAGGTGCGCGAGAAATTCTGCTATGTTGTGCTGTTGACTTGGCTGCCCTCAAGAATGCCTGCCATTGCCTGCGCGTGGCCAAGTCCATGGAGCTGAGCCTTGCAAGGAAGGACAGCGCAGAGCCGAGGACCCCCATGTGGCGTGCGTCCGTAGCAGCGACCACGCCAGCATGAGCGCTGAGGCATTCAGGTTACAGTAGTTAGTAGTTGGACGTATTGAGTAGACTGACTCCAAGCGGATTGCTAAGGCCCCTCAGGCGGTTTCGCCAACTGGCAAGGCTACCCTGAGCTTGAGCGTCACGCATTTTTTGGCTTGCCCGCGCGCTTGCCCTCATATCCCCTTTCCGGGTAACGCTTGCTGCCACTTGCTGCCCCCCCCGACTGAACCGGCGCGAGTTTCCTCCCTAGAGGTTTGATAATTACGGCGATCGGTAGTGGGGATATTGCGGGGATCTGGTCAAATTTGTCACTCCTGTCCAATCGGACTAGTATTTGGAAAACCCTACAGCCCTACAGCGCTAGCACTCACTGGGTGAGGAGTGAGGAGACCTCGTACCCTCCAAGCTTGGGGCGCGCAGAGAGGAATCAGGCGGCGCACTGTCTTTCCGAGGTGGAGTGAGGAGACCTCCTGATGCTTTCCCCACGAGGAGGAGCGCACTGAGGTTCACTACTTCCCCAACAGCTCGTGTGCCCGGAAGCCGACTGCCGAGTCGTCAGAGTGAGCTATAATTCCGCAAGGCGCTGAAAGGGCTGAAAACGATGAACCATCCCGTCCTGGCTGCATAGTATCGACAGCTGTTTGACGACGCTCAGCACCTCCGAGTGAGGAAGAGGCTCCGCATCAGACAGGGGATGGCTTGCGCCGCCCTCCTGCCACACCGTGTATCGCCATAGCCACACCAGCGGACTCACTCTGAGAAGTCCGCCATCCACCAATGGCTTGTGAGCTTGAGCATCGGACAGAACTTGTCGAGCCTGGCCTTCAATTCCATCCAAAGGATGGTGAGAAGTGTTGCCCGGAGCGTTGTCGTGGCTTCCTTGCTCTGTGCTTGGGTACGCCACATGGTCGGTAGCCTTCTTGAGCTGGGTCAGGATTTCCAGCTCGCTGATTACTTGGAAGAACATCGATCTCCAAGGCTTTTGCAGTTGCGTCTGGCTGCCCAGGTCGCTGTTTCGGGATGGCACTTGGGCGCCGGGGCTGGTTGTTGACATTTGATTGTTGCCGCGCTTGGGATGGCCTCGCCAGTCCCCAGGCCGCTGCGATCTGCTGCTTCGGCATCATGGCTTCTTCCATCACCATTGCGCCTTCGCCCTGAGCGATGGCCTTTGAGAGCGCTAGCTGCG